GGGGGGGGGGCTGGGGCGACTCAAACATCTCTATCTTGTGTTGTCGATACGTCGAAGATGCTTCATTGTTTGATTCACGCAGAAAAAGGTAGGCATTGTTTGGAAGGGAAGTTGTACGTCAGCTTACCAAAAAATGCGGAGGCATCGAATCCCCCTGTGCATGGCGTTTGCCGACTACAGAAAAGCCTCCAACTTGGTCGAACCAAACGCGACACTGAATGCGATTAGTAGATACTGCATCAGTTCGTGCTATGTCGACCTTCTCGAAGAGCTGAACTGTGGCTGCACTACAGAAATGAAGCGGTCCATGTCAGATAAAAATATGCAACGGTGTACGAGAAGGCGATACTATTTCTTCCCCAAAATTGATTGCACTGACTTAGGAAACCCTGCTCAGTGATCTTGAGTGGGCTGGAAGTTTTGGGATCGATTTAGGACACATGACTAATCTACGCTCCACTGGTCGAGTGAAATCGGACTTGAGATGAATTTGTCAAAAGCAAGGTGCATGCACAACCAGTTCAGTCGTACAGCGACAGTCAACATAAATGGCGAAACGATCGAAGAAGTAAAAAGCTTCAAGTACATACGACACCAGCTCAGCCTCACTCAAGGCAGTAGCAGGAGAGTACAGCAGGCGCAGGAGAGTAGCTAGTCTAGCTTCATCAAAATCTCCACATTATTACTAGACGAAGACCTCCCGATGAAACTGGATCTGTCCCTGCTCCACGCGACGGTGATACCCGTGATATTGTACGGCGCAGAAGGCCGAGCGTTCCCAAAGGCAGAGGGAGAGAAATTTGCTGGGATGCAAAGATCAATGGAATGCAGTATTTGCAACGTGCTACTTCTTGAACACATCACGTATACAGAGCTGCGAAGCCGAGGTGACCATGTTGATGTTGTTCAGGAATTGTATAAACTTGAACCAGAATGGGCCGATTATGAGGCACGTTCAAAATACATGGACTTGGACCGATGGACTTTCCGGCTAACGATATGGATCTCGTTAGACAGGAGCGACCGCCGAGAAGGCGTAAATCGAAGTGGGCGGATTCCATGGTGAATATGCTGGCCAACAATGGGGACGACGTGTGCAGGACCGGAATGGATGGCTCAAAGTCGACTTGCGTGAATGGCAAAGTTCACGAAGACAAGTCAGATACAGGTGATATAGATGGTTATTCCGCAAGAAAAGTACAAGAAGCCCAGCTATAAAAATACCATTGTTCACTGGAAGTTGTCCTCTCTGAACAAAACGAGCAGTGAAGAGGATTATGTTTTAACCACCGCAGAGGGCTGTTTTAGAAAGAAAACATTCCGTAAATGTTGCACGCATTTCTGCCTAGCTCAACGGCTACAAACTACCTGCCCCGTTTTGAGAAGCGAGAGCAGATGAAGAGAATAGCAGGTTCAAGAGAGTTTGCCTGACGTTCCCGTTTCCGATGCCCTTCGTCTCTAATGGAGTGATCACCTCCCGAGGAAGTGTCTTTGTGATCGGACGTGAAGTTGTCAACATTGTGGGAATCCCTCGTGACCATTCATTCATTGATTCTTAACCGGTTCTACGACCGCAAGTATGCAGCATTTAACTGGGTGATCTGACCTACTGGTAGGGACGATTACTGCCCTGTTGCTCCTGGTCTCCGGAGCCATTTGCTAGAACTGCAGATTTGCGGCACAGCTACCCCACTTTGTGCTCTCATTGAAGAACATTTCGACGGAGTGGCTTGGTTGTGGCCGTCAACTGCCTTAGGTTTCTGTAGGATACAATATCATAATATTGTCCTTTGCGGGATTATATTTGATGTCTCGGCCCATGAGACAGAAGTAGCCGCGAGGAAAAGCCTAGAATCATCCTGGATCCGAGTCACCGATTCAAAAATGAACTGAAATGGGGAGTGCGTGTGAATTGCACGTGAACTTACCCCCTATATAAGGTTAGCTTTCGACTGTACCCTTTGAACTCCACTGGAGCCGATTTTAATATTATCGCTCAAACGAGCTTTTTCTGTCAGTCAGGGAGATACATTAGTCATATTTGTCCACGGTTGTATGATGATTATTACGGACAACAGCATTAGCCTATCCATACTTTCAGGACTCTAAGTAAGAGGGCGAATTCGCCGAAACGTTGGCCATTGGGGTATTTGCCATCTTTGCAGGAGTTGTATCGGTAAATTGATTTCAATAGTGATGCTGAGCTTCATCGATCATTGACAAGGCGCACGAAACCTTCATAGTCAATATCAGAGATAATCACAGGTCATAGGTAATGTAGAACGCTGATATCTTGACCTTAACCGGTTCGTCTTAATGTCTACCATACCAATGTAACCATTCTGTGAAATGGGAGGTTCTGTCAACTTATCACGTATTCATATTTTAAAGTGATACAAGTATGAGGGCTCCGTCATTTGTCCACCATTGCTTATACAACTAAGGGTTGCTGATAAACTTAGCATACTAAATAGCTTGTGTAAATGTATATTCTAGATGTATTTCGTCGCTGGAAAGCGAATGTCCGATACTGCATAGAAGACTGAAAAGAGACATTGACGTCATGGCTGCAGACGGACCGGCCGATGTGATCAATCATGTACAATTTATTTTTCCTCGTTTGTTTTTTCTACAGTTCTAGGAGAAAAACAACAGTTTTGTGTAACTTTCGCCAGACCCTGAGAACGACGTCACGGGGAACGCCAACCTAGGAGTTATCCAAGTAATTGGGAGAGGAATCATCATATAAGAGGGGAAATCATTCAAGGCGGGAAAGTTACTCATGTGAGGGGAACCTTAGCGTAGTTGAAGTTTTCGATCAGAGCACCGGAAACATCAAGAAGGGTCTTAATTTCATCGAGCATAAGAAGGTTGTTCTTCCTTGTCTTGCCAATGTTCTTTCATGGGGTATTACAGATGTCGTCGACGCAGAATCAGATTTCTGGCGTATCAGGACCAATGGGGCCGCTTCTAAACGCGTTGAATATGCAAAGCATTCGTATGGCATCTTTGTACTCGGACTTTATTCAAAGGCTTCAGGTGAGCTCCATAACTTGTTAAATAATAATAATAAGGGGTGGAACACGCAACTCAAACATTCGTTTGAAAGTTTCAGGTATTGCGTTGAATTGTTCTATAGCCGTCCGCTAGTATGATGGCTTTCTTTTTGATTTAGAAAATGTTCCCTCCTCGTCTTACGACTCGTATGACAAGTGAAGTAGTGGACAGATTTCTGCGTTCTATAGCCGACAACTCGGAGCTCGGACTAGGTATCTCAACGCAGGAAGCTAATGAAATAGGAGGTTAGTCTGCAGAACCTTCTGTATTTTGCTCTACGCTTCAGAAAGCCTGCCCCTTCCTAAGCATGACCGACGAATTTTAGTGGCTTTCATAAGGAGCTCGGTTTTATCATAGCAATCTCTGCTGCTCTTTAGTTTCAATTAGAAGAACCTATAAATACACTAAGGAGTTGGGCAGTTTCCTCGCTAGGATCCATCCACCAAGTCCCAACTTTTGCAGCTTCACGACTGACCTCACCCGACTGATTTTTAGGTGATGAGCTGGTGGGCCTGTGGAACTCTACGGTGAACGAATGGACATCGGGTCAGATGGATACACCTGGTGAAACCGAGGGCATTTCGTATGCCGATGTTAAGCAGTTGATTGTTACTGCTGATCGACTGCAGTCCCTCACAAGACAGGTGCCCGATCCTCACTCCTCGTATTGCTTTAATTCTCATGCCTTTGGCTGCTAACAAGTATCCTAGGCTTTTTAGAATGGAGCCAGTGATCCTTTTAGTCTGCTTCATGAATATATAGGCCAAATTCTAACAACAAACGATAGTGGAGACGAAGTGAGTTTTGAAAGGAATACTTGTGGTATGGCCCTTCTGAATGGTTTCTCCTTATAGGAATGCATGAGAGCTGCTGTTTACATCGAACCGCTCGTGATCTATGAAGATTCCAGTGTTACCATCGATGTTTATATAGAGAACCTACAGGTGAGTTATGATCATACGGGTGATAGATAGTGTTTGAGAAAGTTGGCTAGGCTGAATCTTCTGGCCTTTCGATACCCATGCACCCACATTCAATGATGACAAAGACAGCTATTTCAAGCTGGTATCGCGTATCTAATTTTCTCCTTTTCCACCTATTAACTGCATTTTGGATTCATATTTGTTCATCCAAATACACCTGAGGATGTGTCATACAACACGAAAACAGAAACTATTAGGTTGATGCGTAAGTTTTCCTCCCCGTGTTTGATCCTTCCGTATTTCATTTGCATGGATGTTGATATTTTGTCATCACGTGTGCGTGACGTGTGCAAGAACTGTTTCACCACTCTAGCTACCACTCACTCACCCTGCATTTGAAGGTCACAACATAATTGCCACTGTGACAGAATGTACCTGCACCAAAACCTGGTTTTGCTCCACGATTTCGGCTGGAACAAAGGAAGCCCATACCAAGCTAGTGGGAAAATACGACGAGGACGTCATCTCTTACCACACGTGGAAGGCTTCGTACGCCAACTTTGAAAAAAGAGACTTTTCTCTTGAAGATGCTCCGAGGTCGGGTCGGTGGAGTTGTATTTGAAAGAATTACGTTCAACCTTGGAGGAGGACTCTACCTCACCTACCAGGGCAATGGCGACCATGCTCGGCTATAGTCAATCTACGATTGTACGTGGACTGGATTAGCTCGGCAAGCTAGGTCGATGGGTCCCACATGAACTGTCCGCTTATGACCCTTCAAGGATGGTGATCACCTGTACTTCTCTATCCACTTTTCAAAGGAAACTTTCTCAATTCGATGATCACTGGAGATGATAGGTGGGTGCTCTACAATAACCCTGTGAGGAAGCGGCAGTGGCAGACGAAAGAGAACAGCCAGAAGCCATCCCAAACGCCGACCTTCACCTCTAGAAGGTTCTCCTGTCCTGCTGGTGGTCCAGAAGTGGCATTGAGCACTAGGAGCTGATCTTGTCGATCCTACTCGTGGATCGAATGCGGAAATTTATTTTCTTCATAATAACCCCCGACCTCAAACCGCAGAGGCGACCTAGGCTGAGCTGGAGTGATGCGGATGGGTGATTATCGCCCAGCTCCCCCCTTCCGTGCAGCCCTGACCTCGCTCCTTCCAACTACTGACTGTTCAGCTACCCGCCCGCAGCGCTTTCTGGACGCTTTTGAAACACAAGATGATGTAAGAGAGGCACTCGACTACTTCTTCAAATCACAGCCCCCGCCCTTCGCGGAGGAAGGAATCGGCAAGCTACCTGAACGTTGGCGTCGAGTAGTGGATGGTAGTGGTGCATATCTCTAATCTTCAGGTAGGGTTCGCTATTGTGGTCATAACAAAAAAGCCGGGGGAAAAGCTTATGCATCAACCCAATATAAGGTGATGGTTCTTTGTCAACAACTCAGATAAGGAGAAAGTTAGGATAAGAAAAAAGAAAAAAGAAAAAGAGGACGTTTGAAGATAAAGGCTGAGATTGAAAGAGACATCACGCCTCACTAGTGTAAGAGAGAAACGGATAAAGAAGCGGAACAATAGCGAAAAGGCTGCGTGAAGAAAAAATAGTGAAATGACTGAATGCACTGAAAGCTGTTTTCTTCTGTGAAAAAGGTTTCAACGCCAAAAGCTGGCCCTTGTTTCAAAACGCATAGATTGGCAAAGTAGTGTGGTTTGCTGATAACTTAGCCGGATACCAACGGATTCGTCCGGGACCATGAGTGAATAGTCCACGCGTTCCTCAGGCGAAAGGTTTCATCTTCTCAGAGGTTCCTGAAACAACTGAAACACATAAAATACAAGGCCACAACATCATCGAAAAACTATGTCACATAGCTAACTTCTTGCTTCAAAAAAACGTAGGGAAACAGTAAAGCAGTAGCGAAATAATGAAATGAAACATGATCTCGAACAATCTACGGAATTAACATCTGCTACAAACAAAAATACCGCCTAGGATAGAGTATGGAAAATCAAGGAGAAAGAATGGATCGTCTCCGAAAGAGCAGAAGCTTAGGATGAAATAATGCTCAGGACAAACAACTGAGAATCAATCCTCTTAATACAGCTCTAGAACTCCGAGAAGAAGCAGACGGATCGAGATCGCTAGACTGCTTCCAAATATCTTGCGATTCGGTGCTAGAACGGCATAACGATGCAGAAGTTTTTACCATCTTGCACAACGATTGAAGAGATTACTAAACATTGAAAAGTAGTCCTCCGGATGAATGGAGGCATAGTCTAGTTGGTCCAAAAATCCAGGGGTCCGGGAACTTCTCCCCTAACACAGCGTCGCACACGCCGCACCCGCCGCCTATCGCAGGATTGCGATGAAAGATTGGAGCGCGCAATTTGTGAGGTAGGGAGTCCTTTAATTACTTGAATTGACTGACCGCTTTCTTCAATTTCAATGCAGTCTTGACCGCCGCTTGCATAGGAGGAGTCATTTTAATTAATCAAGTCCAATAAACATGAAAACTAAGAAGAAACAGAAGAAAAAACGATAAAATCCAATGAAAAAGCAAGCCAGTCAAGGAAAAATATCGCGTCCTATCGATTTTCGGGAGGCGGGGTGAGTACGGTAATTGCAGTGACATTCGCCGCATGCCGCAAGGGAGAATGCCGCGATAGGGGAGAAGTTCCGTTACTCAAAATCCAGTACTTAAATCTCTTCAAGAGAACGAAAAACAACACTAAATCCAACAGTACCCTCGATGCTTCGAGAATGAAGAGATAACAACTGCTATCGAACGGTAGGAGGGAATGACTGCAGCGTGACCCAAGCACAAGCATTCAAGCGAGCACATTTTGTACTCTTTCAAGCTTCTATATTTCTTTGAGAAGAGAGCCACTGACTGCTCGCAAGAAAATGCTTGGTGGGCATATTAATGATAGTATAGAATGTGAGGGATTATCTAACGAAGGATTTGAACTGGATTTGAGTACTATTACCGCTTCCTTCAACTTGTCATTCTAAGCCATGTGTTCTGAATCGAATTTCTCAGCATTTCCAAGTCACGATCAGAAGACTTCCAATAATCATTTGGGTGCGCAGGCTTTGAAGGATCCAAAGATAGCAAGCATCGCGTTCTTCGACCCGTGATCATCGGCCTGCATGGTCGGAGACGAATCGAAATTAATCCGAGATTGCTTGGTTCTCTAGAGGTGCACATAGGCGGTGTACTCATCAGCAATAGCACAGCATCAGTAATACCAAAAAATTCTGAGCTGACAAACAAAAGCAAAATGAGAACCAGCTTCTGCCACGGGGAGCCCACCAAACCTAGTCAGCAATGATCAACGGTGATCAGTGAGTCACAAACGACCAACCATCGATTAGAACAGCGATGCACGAATATATAATAGAAAGAACTGCAAAATAGATTTGATCCGATGGCTGCGTAACGAGAAAGAAACCTAGTCATAAGAACGATGGCTTGGACGGTAAGTGGACGATGAGTGAGAAATTTTTTCGAAAAATTTTGAAAACGAATTTGATCAGATGCACGGATTTACTGTAATTAGCAGCTCGAAAAACGTAAAAAAATCATTAGCAAGGAGATTATTACAAGTGGAAGCATCAGGAAGTGAATCATGGTACTCGGGGGGG